TGTGGTCAAATGTGTCACTGTGGAACTCAGCAATAAAATGGATTCCCAGTCCTCCATAAGGAGAGTATTGGTGAGGGATTCCATAAGATGATCAGTAGTAGAGGCAGTATGGCACTGAACTCTGAAGGTCACTGCCTTTTACAGCTCTTGAGAGAAGAGCTGGCAAGTTACTTGCGTATGATGAGACTGTGTGGTGAAAGGACAAGAGATAACATGCTCATACGTTGTTGGATTCCAGTCTTGGCTGTGAAATGGACAAGCTGTTTAAATTCACCAGCCTAGTCTGGCAGTCTGTAGATCTAGGAACAATCCCCAATTCACCCTCTGGAGAAGACTGGAGGCCTGGCTTTATTCAGTTGGGATGAGCCACAGGATGTGCAGATGTTTACTGCTACACTGCACTGGGTGCTGATGGTGTGGCGTGGCACATGCCTGGAGGTACAAGCAAAGAGGTGAGCTAAGCTGACTGATCAGGATTTCTTGGAATAATTTGTGGAAGACAGCATCAAACCTTGATCATTTAAGCCTTCAGTTCTGTAAATGATCACTTACCAGCCACTAATGAGAAGGCTGCATTAAACCTGTAGCTGAGGAAGACATAGTGTGAGGTTTCTGAGCAAAGTGAATGAGTTGTGCCTCAAACACTAAACATTAAAAATATTGCTGGACTGAGCTATTTAGTTATCTGAAGAAACACAAGTATGGAAGTAAGGATAAAAGTGAGGAAAAGTAGAATGAAAACAGTGGAAGACTTGTCAGATAATGTGTTCTTAGCATCCTTAAGTATTTATCCTCTTAGCAGTATAGGAATGATGAGCATACATATGTAGCCAGGGCTGATTACAGAAAACACTTTCATGGAAATTATAGTGATCAAAGCCAAAGTGAAAAATCAGTTCAGTATACTAATTTCAGGTAGACTGATTTAGTTTGCTACCCTCAATCCCAAAATTATAAAATATCATGGCAAGTTTTTCTTCTGAAACTTTCTGTGTGTTCATACTAATATATATCTCATTCAAATCAGCCATTTTATAATATATATGTAAAATGAGTTAACAGAGTCAAATAACCTGTCTTCATCATCATCATTTGCCATTAAATCAGTCTTGTTAGTGCAGAGTTGTCATATGTTATTTTAAAAGTTAATCCAGTTTAAAGTGTCACTAAGGCAAAAAACTAGTCCTGATAGAAACAAGTTAAAAATAGCAAATAATAAGTTCCTATAAAAATTATTTTGAAAGACCTACTATTTGTATCCATTTTTCAATTCCCCACAGATTTTTTTCTTTTTTAATTCCTTAATTAGAATATGATGTGACATTAAAGCTCTACAGTAATATTCTTGCCTTTATCAGTTGAGGTATGATTTCATAATTAAGAGGAGAGCTTAAAGTAATGTTGATTGACATCAGCTACATAGCAATCTTTTCTGTGCTGAGTTACATCTTGGAGCAAACCCTTACTTCACTGAAACTGGCTGAACTGCCTATCTGTCCATCTTAAATCTACTAAACTTTTTTGAGTATTGATTTTAGGATTTGTTTCCAGGCCTTTAAAGATTTTCTAGTATTTCAAGCCTCAATGAAAGTCATTGTGCTCTTTGGGGACTTTATTCTGCCATTCAAACTACCTGAATGATACTTACTGTCCACATAAAGCCTTCATTCACCTAGTGTGCAAGTAATTTGCAGTGTCTTTATGAGGAGGATGACAACTGGAGTTCATGTGTGCAAGTACTGTAATTTACTAAATTGATACAAGTTTGACTGAATTTTCCACCAAAATTTTTATGGTCTGGATAGAATATTATTTGACTCAGTAGTGTTTTAAATATTTCTGTAGGTAGTCAGTTCACTTTCATTTTACCATAATTTAGGCCGTTTTACCTAATGTATATGCGGTTATGGTAATCTTTTATACATAGCATTTTTCCTTTCTACAGCAAACATTGTTTTATTTTTTATTTTAGTAAATTTTGGTAAGATTGCATTCTTCAGGAAATATGAAAGAATCTTGAATGGCAATTTCTCATTTCTCTGGAGACTCAAGAATTTCCCTTTTAAAGCAAGAAGCAAAGTCTGTAGCTTCTAAGTAGTCTTTTTTGCAGCCAGGGTGTTTGGCATCGCTTCTAAAACTCAGGATATGAAGAAGCACACTTGTGGACTTGGAACAAATGGTGCATGCATTATATGTGTTTATTCTCATGAAAATACATAGCTTTATTCTGATGGTACATGCAGTGTCTCAGCTGTGGAGGTCTAACTGCATCTTTGTTGCAGTTCGTGGGCCTTTCCTGAGCTTTGCAGCTGTTCATCAGGTCTGTCCTGCAGCCCATCAGAGCACAGAGCTAGCTGCCCTCTGCTAAGGACAGTGTTGAGTAGAACTTCAAATAAAATGGATTTCATGTAAGGCTTTTTAAAACAGTGATTTTCTCTTGCTGCTAGAGTCTCATGTCAAGAGAACAAGGGGCAAAAAATGAGCAAAATTCCACTTGCTGAAGACAGGCAAGTAAAGCAGTGCTCTGAAACCTAGCAGAAAACCATGAATTTTAAGGTTTCATTTCTATGAATTTGAAATCTGGCCGGTTTTTTTGATAAAAGCACAAAAAGGATATTTTGGTGGTTTGTGTCTTTTGCTAGAAATCAATTCACATATAGCCTTTGCTGTATACCTTTACAACGGCGATCAAAAGTAAATGTAAATGAGGATTGAAGGTCAAAGTTGAATGATGGAGAAATGTTAAGAAAGTGGTAGATACTTTCATCTTCTAAGTGTGGCTCTGTTTTAGATCAATCTGTTCAGCAGGAAGAATAGAATAGTTGTAGACTAAATCCATCAGTGTTACTTCTCAACTCTTTAGCATAATGCAATCAGTCTGAAACTGTCAATGAGGATATCCAAATCCAGTGACCTACCCCATCCTTACATGCATAAGGTTACAACATTAACCATGCAAATTTCAGTACAACTGCTTTCAAAGGTATCTTGTTATACTGGAGGTGTGACTTGTTAAAAAAGAAATGGCATTCTGATGTGTTTGGGTGTTTTGGGTATTTTTTCCTCTTTAGAAGTTGTTAGTGTTACATATGTGAGGTTCTTTTTCTTGGTGGTTTTTTTTTTTTTTTTTTGGCTTGGTTTTATGGAGGTGGAAACTTACTACTTTTGAAATCATATTTATTGGGAGTCAAAAAATGCTGAAGGAAAAACTTTTGCTTTCAAAAATAGCGTGAGAGTTCCATGCATGTCTGTTAGTTGCATTTGTTCTAGTCCAAGAAGAATCACTGTTAACAAACAGCTGGCAACAATAGGTGTTGGTTTTGGTAAGTGGCTCTCTTCATTTGCCATCTGAAACAGCTATGTATTAATAATGGGCTTCATTTGTTGTACTTCCTCCTACAGATAAGAAAAAAAATTCTACTAAATTGTTTTGCTGCAGTGGGTTTTCTTTTGCTCACAAAACTTTTAAATATACACACTTAGACTTTTCTGTCACTAGATAATGAGCACTGCTTTTTCCAGAACTTCATTAATGCAAAGCATCTGTCCATTTTCCAGTGTGCATGTATGTTTTACCAGCAAGCCGCTTACTACAATGTTTCCACAGTGCTCATTTCAGAAAATGGCTTGTCATTAAATTAATTCTCACTGTGTTTTAGGAAGGAAAGTCTGAACTACAAATCTAAATCTTATTTTTTTAGTAAAGTATCTAAAACCTAATTAGTTTATTTATAGCACATAACAGTTAATATTTTGCAAATACAACTATAGTAGGTACGAGTTTTTATTATTTCTTTGGAACATTTCATCAGTGTGGTAGCTGTATAGTGTATTGGTAAGTACTGATTTCTAAGTGACATTTATACAGAGGAAATGCAAAGTATGCTGCAAGTATATGTAAATTAAAACTATATTTTACAGCAGTTTTTGATATGCATAGTTACACTTTCTGACAAGGAGCAAAGACACCTACGCTTTTTTTTAACCCTAGAATTTGCAGGGCTAAACTTTTAATTTTCTTTGTTTATTGCAAAGCTGACAGGTTTCTGCTCTAGGGATACCTTTATCAGGATGGGACTTTGTTTTGAGGAATGAGAAATTGTTCAGTTAGTTTGTCCCCAGAGGTGAAAATGCCGGGCTTTGTTAACAACAGAGCATTGTGTCCCTTTTTTCTTTTTTTCAACAAAACATGAAAGTTGCAATCCTATCAGTTGCAGTAATCTAAACATTTGTCATAAAATATTTTTGGATATTAGGAGACACCGATTTGCATGGCCATTATTTACTTTTGAGTGTTGTGGTTTTTTCATTCTGAAGTATGTAAACAACTCAATATTAAAAACAGTCAGGTTAAGCACTGATATTCCATAGCTGCTGTGTAATTAAGATGTTGAATGTACGGTGCTTTCCTTTCAAAGATGAAAGTTTGTTTACATTTCCTTGTTTATAAGTCTGCACTTGCCGGCTTGTGTGTTGTTTTATCTCTATACTTAGTAGGAGCAGTCATTTTGAATCTGTCGATGGGAAGTTGGAGTGGTATGTGTGGGTGTTGTTTTTCATATTGTAAGCTCATATCACCCAGGATAATATTGAATTGTTTTCTAGAGTTTATCTCTTTGTAGACCAAACGATCACTTCAGATTAGGTTCATATTATGCTTTGGAATTCTTTTTGATAAGAGGATTTGTTTTTTGGAAATGATGTCATGGAAAATATGTCATCTGTCAAACTTCAGGAAAAAGTTTTCAGTGAAGGAAAATAATTCCAGCCGGTTAGATTTTTTCACTCATTCCACTTAAATGTTGTCATTGTTCCAATTTATTTAGTGTAGTAAGCAATGTGATTTAACCAATCCAGCTATTTTCACATGAAATTACTACTTAATTGCACTGTTGAGTTTTATGCCAGAAACCATGTTGGTTGAATGGCCCAAATGGATGACAAGATATGCCAACTCAGATTTTCAGTAGGCTTATACAGTTATTTCCTTGCCCCTGCAGCTGTAAGCACAAGGTGTACTTGGAAGCACTACCAAACACGAGCATCATCATCCCGTTTCATAATGAGGGCTGGACTTCGCTCTTGCGCACCATCCACAGCATCATCAACCGCACTCCAGACAGCCTGATCGCAGAGATCATTCTGGTGGATGACTTCAGTGACAGAGGTAAGGCCTGGCTGGTTTTGTTTTAACTTGAAATTTATAGTGCAGCGTGATCCAGAGAGAAGCTAAAGGGACGTAAAAACAGCCTTGAAGAACCCTTTGATTGTTAGCAGGAATAAACATTTATAAGATGCTTTTATTTTGCTTGGCATGAATATTGAAATTCATGTCAAAGGGAAGAGAGACTGTCAACTGTTAATTAGGCTTTATTAATGATGTATTTTGAATGTTATCACTGAAATACTGCAAATTTTAGTATTTCCTCATATTTTCCCTATATTTCTCTTTTACTCTGAAAATACATCAACTTTGACCATTTTGGATGCAACTCATTAGCTTTTGATCCTGGAAATCTTATTGAGCTACACAGATTCACATACTAGTACAAAAGAGCCATACAGAGAAATGAGGCTCTTTTGAATGAAATGTGGAAAAAAATGCTTTGGAATAGTTGATCAAAATTTACGTCATTTAAATACAGTAAAATTAAGAAAATGTCAATCACTTAATGTCTTATGCTACCATTACTTCATGAATGCAACAGAAAAAATTAATACCTCAAATTCTTTATAGGAATTTTTACAGTTCTTTAGGTAAAATTCCTCCATGATAAGGATATAGAACTAGGAGATGTGGGGGTTTTTTTCAAATTTTAGTTCATCTCTTAGAAGTTTAAGCCTGAAGACCTTTGACTTTGGAGTTTTGCAGGCTAGGTTTTCTGTTTCTGTTGAAACATCAATTGCTGGTGTGCATGTTAGCTTTGTTCTGAGTATACTGATAGCAAAAGAGAGAATTGTAACCTTTGCTAATGTTCTACTTAAAACCTTTGTCTCAGCTAGGAACTTAGAGGAGCAGATTTCTGACCTACTGTTTTAAGAAGCCCCTGGGTGAGTGACAGAAATATTAGTAGAGCGCTGCAGTAGCAGAACCATTTTTGTAAGATTTTTTTTAACTTGATATTTCAGGGTTTAGAAAGATAAATGCTCCACACATCTATCTTGCCCTCTAATATCTGCTGGTTTACTTGCAATATGTCCTTTGATGAACTGCCTCCCGATCTGTAATGCAATTTAAGTAAAATTGTAAAGTGAGTACAGTTCTGATTATTCTATGTTTATGAAATCTAGACCACAGATGAAAGTTTTGGAAATCAGACCTGTAAAACAGCACACCCAGGCTGTTTCTGCAGGCTAACAATTTCCTAGCAGTAAACAACTCAAAGGGAAGTCTTGCAAGTTGTTTTTATGAGGTATTTCAAAAGTAAAAAAGCTGGTTTTCATTTTCTCCCCTCCACTTTTTTTTTCTTTTTGGCTGAAATAGCAGCTATTGAGGCAGTGCTTGCTCAGTATGGTAATACTGTAGCATTTTTTAATGAAGAACATAATTGCTACTGTTGATGCATTTTGAAATATGCTAGTGTTTTGTAAAGCTTATCTACTTCCAGGTTATGAGAAAAAGAATTAATGCCAATAAACAGGCTGTTGCTCTTTCTTGCATGCTCTAACTTAGTTTCAGCTGATTGCTGAAAGTAATATTATTGCTATAACACTATAAAAATCTCCATAGTCGTCTTCATTTCCAGTTATATGAAGCTATCTGACTTATCAGTGGAACAGTTTTCAGCTGGAAGAAATGGTTCATATAGCATAGGAACATTTAATGAAAGTGTTTAAGTTTGAAAAACTGAAAGAAATCGACAAACCAGACTTACATGAAGCTGGACCTAGAAGTGTGGTAGCAGTAAAATTATTTACTTCTGTTTATTGGTGTTATTAAAATAAAGTTCAGAAATGTGAATGGTTGCTAGTTTTGAACATATTGGGTACTGTATGTTTTAAGACAGATAACACAACAAAAATCTGCTGCCGTCTCTACTCTGAATTCAGTAACATTGACTTTGAGGTCAGATGAATCATTTTGGTACACCTGAAGTTGGTTTAATTCTTGTATTTGTGATCCTCTAAACTTTACTTAACTGAGACTATATTGTGTTTTCTTGTGCTCTTTTTTTCTCTTCTGTAAGGTGATCACACATAATAGAGTTGGATTATTTTTATGTTAAGAAAATGCTGACTAGCTCAGCATTTTCTTAACATATGAAAATGATATCTAGCTCTGTCCCCTCCCAGTTGATAAAATAACCTGTTTTTAAGAAGTGGCAGATTATTTTACCCTTTAGTTGCCTTTCTGAGACTGATAGGATAAAGCAGCAAAAAAGATATTGAAGCCAGATTAGGCAAAAAATAAAGTTTGTATGTTCAGATGTTGTCAGAACTCACAGAATCATTGCAAGTTTACTGCTGTGTTGAGGTAGTATAGTGATTAGTGATAAATTCATATCCCTTTTCCTTACTGTGTAATTTCTTCATGAAGCTGCAGGTACCATATAGCTGTCAAATGGCTATTATTTTGTGAAATCAGTTATATGTTATTAAAGTGAGTAAATATGTTATTAATGTGTATGCTATTCTCGTTCCATAACTTGATATTAGAAGGGAAGAGTTTTCTGTTAGGAATCTAAACATCATATGTAGATAGTCAAAAGTGAAAATTAGGTATTTCAATAACAGTGGTATTTCAAAAATAATGATTAAACAACAAACACTTTTCTCTGAAGTTTTCTGTTAACCCTGCTGTTCCTTTTTACAAATATCTAGAAATTGATGAAAAGTCAGTTCCTATTAGAAGCAGTAAATGAGAAAAAGAAATTTGAAAACTGTGTAAAAATTAAAAAAAAGGCTCCAGCATTTTTCTTTCTTTTTAACTAATGCCAGTATAAATACTGAAATGCACTGAATAAAACTGATAACAAATGATGAAAATGTTTTACTGAACAGCTCGATACCAGGAGTTTGCTGGTTCATCTGCAGAATAACTTGTATGCCTTCATTTTATTCATATGCACTCCTTTGGCTTTTATGATCAAAACATAAATCTTTAGATAGTTCATGCATAATATTCTGCATAAATTATGACATTTAGGTGTTATAAAAGGACAGCTGCACATCTTTAAATATCAATATAATGCAGACTAAAGGCTTGGTATTATGAGGGAGGTAAGGAAATGTTATGAAATATGAAAGTGCAATATTTGGTTGTGGACAGATTTAATATAAAAAACTACATGAATATTAGAAGTTACCTGTGACAGAAGGAAACATAGATTTAAATACAGGTACACAGTTGCAAGATTTCTTTATTAATGTAATTTATAGAGAGTGTTTGTATTTAAAAATGGTGAACCAACAGATAGGAGGAAAAATGTCTGATTTACTGGAACTCCATTTCAGCAAAAATAACAGCTTTGATTTGTATTGTAAATGCAAATGGCAGAATGTTGGTGTACTGGTGAGATGAAAGGGGTCTGAATCTGAAGTTCTAGGTGCTCTAATAAACGTAAAATAAATACATTTTCACTTAACAAGCACTATAAAAGAGGAAAATAATAAGCTTCTACTTAGCTTGCCTTAGAAAGCTATGGATACAATAAGAGTACATTTTAATGATGTACATAATTTTACATTCTAAAGTGTGCAAAGTGTTTCTGATCTTGTGATGGATGTGGGGCTGCAAATCAAGTACCTGATTCGTAAAAGCCCTGTATTTCAAACTTAAAGACCTATCAGTTTCAGTGAAACCCACCATAGAAAATCAACCTTTATATTGGAGATACCAGCGCACCTTTGCGTCATTATCTGCAGTGGCTTTGTGTGCAACTCTGTGATTCTGGCTTCTGGGCAAATGAGCCCTGTTGAAAGTGGCTTTTTTTTTTTTTTCTGGGAAGGTTTTGGGGTTTGTGTGAATGTTGTTTGAAATGGAAGGTGGGGAGGATTGTTTGCAGGTTTGACGTTAAAGATTGGGTATTTCTTGTTGACATAGTTTGCTCTGAAGTCACTCTGCCAGCAGACAGGTATCTGAAAATGGGCAAGAAGCAGAATATGGGCAACAGTTTTAAAAGAAAGGGCAAAATGAAAAAGAAAACAAGTTTTCATTGGTTCAGTTATGGAACAGCTTGCATTTACAGAGGAATACTAAAAATTCTAATTAATGTTTTAAAACTTTGGGGAAACATAGATTTGCATAATTCATTAGTTAAACAGTTCATGTAGGTTGCCAACATATGATAGATTTGTACATCAACTTTTATTTCTTTTTATGTTTTAATTACTTTATTATCATAGTCAGACTTGTAAACTGTTACTAACACAGTACATGCCCATGAATGTAAAATTGACTTACGGAGGATTTTGACTTTACCCTGTAGTTCTTGAACCAGTACAGCACCTATTATAAGAAAAAATAAACAATGCCATAGCCAACAATAAATCTATTAGCAGTAACAATTATTTGGCAGTATTTTAGTTTGAAAAAAAACAGAAAAAAAGATGTGCCAAGGGAAAACAAAAGAACTTGAAAACTTAGCCTACAGCTTCTTCCTCAACTAGTTTCTGTCACTGGCAATGAACTGGTTTTTGGTAGAAAATGACAAACTGGGAAATTTTTCATTATGTTGATGAGCCAGCCCCTTCTCATATTGCTGTCTATTATGTTCTCCTGTATCTGTCCCCTTGCTTAGGTCTGTTTTCTGCATCATTCATTTGAGAGCATCAGGGCATCTCCTGTCAGTACTGTATGGTTTGTGCCAGAACTCTGAATAAGCCAGCTTAATAGCATGGAAGTCAGTGTGCAAAAGAAACCTGTGATTATTTTGTCAGAGCTGTAGTTGGTCAGTGAACTTCAGTGCCAGTAATGTGCTTTTTTTCTGTGAACATGGAAGATGACCTGGTGTATGACTGGGGTTTTTTAACCTGTAGTTCTGTAAACTACATGGGTCATATTATACAATAATGGTAGAGTAAAGGAAGAGAGTTTGTGCTAAAAGCAAAGCAACTCTACCAGACTATCATATTGCACCACTTTCCACTGAAGGAACACATGCTATTGCATGAAGTTGAAATTCCCTGTATTTTGTTTGTACACAGTTTATGTAACATGTCATTGAAATTCGAATGTATGGATACTTGGCTTCAAGTCATGGCTAGATGTTACTTTCTGATTAAATGGGAGGGAAAATTTTATACTGTATGAATGAATGTCTTGTCATAGGAAAGCTCTGCTACAGACAGAAAGTGTCAGTATGATGAAAGCTCATGTCTTCAAAAATTGCAATGTTAGGCATAGCTCATGTAAGACATTATGTGTGAGGAAGGAAGGGTGAATCTACACAAATCTGGTAGGTTTGTAGACAAAGTAGTTATACCAGAAGCACACAGCCTTACCAGCTGAGAAGCCTGTTGCTGCAATCAAGTAATTATACAAAGGTAAAGAGAGAAGTTTTCTGCTTAGTGAAGAATTTGTAGTGGCTTTGCCCTTGCTTAATGCAGCATCCTGGAAGCCAGAGTGATCCCAGCAACTTGAATTGCGCTGTTCATTTTGCTGATGGCATAAGCAAAACTTTCTTGGAGCAGAGTTTAACACAGCAAGGTTTTCAAGTTATGTTGATCTTCATATTAACATATTACTGCATCATGTGTACTACAGCAGAAAAAAAAAATTCTTATCTTTTAACCCTATATGAATGTCAACCTCACATTTTAAAGCGATTTAAAAAAAGGAAAAGGCCAAATAGAAAATGAAACTGATTCCATTTCAAAATGTCTGTATGGACTGGAAATCTAACTAAATACAGGATTTACATTTTTATACTTTGCCTTTTTCATTTCCTCTACAATGCACTCAGTTACTTGAATTTCATGAAACTTGGACTTGCTTCTGGTCAAAATACTATCACTGTAAAAAGTACAACTTAAAACATATCTGTGCATAGGTTGCAGTAAACTAACTTGAATCTGTACTACCAAGTTTTCTGTTCTTCACTCTACATTCTCAGTTTTGATAATTTAACATTATAAATTATCTTGTGGGTTTTTCTTCTGAAATTAGAGTACAAGATTTTACCTTCAGCTCCTTGATGTACCTTGCAATAGCAGTTTCATTACTGAAGGCATTTTGACTTGGCAGAATGGCTTTACCAGTGGTAAAAGAAAGGGTTGGCCTGAGGTCGGTGAGGGTTCAGCTCCGAAGAACAGTGGTCATTTTGAAGGCAAGTGCAGCTCATCTCAAAATGCATTTCATTTGCTGGAGTAAAAGTATTGTTGTGTTGTGGGAAGAATTTCAAGTAACTGAAGTTTTACACTTTACACTTTACCTAGACAGAATTGAGAATGTGTCTGCATTGGGATAAATTTAGGAGTATCTCCTACATCCCAATGCTGCCTGCACTCAATGAACTCAAATACAACTTGGCTGTAAAAATTAAAACTCCAGTGATGAAAATATTAATATGAAAACAAATTCTTACTTTTCACATAGTTGATCAAATCGGTTATAATAGTTAAGTAATTTCAATTTGAGTACGTGTGGAGTCAGAATACAAAGTTTTTGTTTCCACAAGCTCTATGTTGGTCAGTCTACCTTTAGATGCGCGCCCTATGAAACGCTTGCTGGGTGTGCATCATGCCTCCACACTGCATCCCTTTTGTTTGTGAACATGTGAGGAATTCTTGAGATGGGAACCAATGAGCAGCCTGCACTTAGCAAGATTGTGTTCTCTGGGTGTCAGCATCTAAAAACTGTTATGCCATGCTTGTTTCGAGTGTGGTTCATTAGATACCTGCAGTAAATCTGGCTTTCAAACAGTATAGTTACTCTGAGTGATTTTGAAATAATAGAAGCACATTTATTCATGTGGCAAATTTTTCTGCTATGCATCTCAGCATTGGTTTACATTTCCTTAGGGTTAAATTGAATTATGGCTGAAATGACATTGTTTTAAAATTACTCATGTGGAATACTCAAGTTTGATCTTGTAAACAGGAAGGAAAATTTCTAATTCTGCGTAAACATAGTTATCTACATTGGCTTTTTTCTGAAACATAAGCTGTTTACTTTCCACTTGAAAAAGCATTATTACACTGCAGAAATAGATTAAACGACTTGACAAGAGACTTGAACAATTAGCTCACAATTATCTTCTTCAGGTTCAGTTAATGAACTATGGAAAAGATGCATATTGGTTTTGGAAAAATTTGAAAATATATTGTTCTTACACATTTCCTTACATTTCTTCTTTTCTAAGTTTCTTCTTAACTTCATATTTCTCTTTATAAGCTTTAAGAATTTTTTTTGTCTTATTTGCATTAGGCAATTCTTAACTAGTATTCCACATATATTACTTCCACAACTTCACTGAGTAGTGTAATGGAGATGTTAACTAATTTTTACATCTTCAAATGATATATCCCCTGAATAATCACAGTTAAAACCTGCAGACAGGTGATGTAGAATGGAAGCTGAAGTCTGTTGCTTTTGACTTTTCCAAATATTCCATCTGATCAAATTCAAACTGATAAATTTTTCTTTTCTTGGTGGTGCTTTGTTATTAGGAGTCAGGAGAACAGGCTTGAAATCTTACAAAGTATTTTTTTCATAAGCTAATCAACTAGATTTTTCTGTAGTATCAAGAGAAAGGATTCTTGCCAAATACTAGTTGTCTGTTATTTCGAAAATTTCCTTTAATTTAAAATTGAAATTTATTCATGATCCTTTTCATGCATGACTGTTGGTTCAATGTTATCTTTAAATAACTCATTATCTTCTCATTGTACATAGAAAGAGATTGCAACTTCCAGTTTTCAAAGTTCATTGAAGTTTAATAAAGTGTGACAAGCTTTCGAATTGACATCCTAGTAGTCTTTCCAAAAATGGTAGTTTGTTACAGTCAAGGTTGCCTTAATTGCTACATTTGAGTTCATCTAAGTAGACTTTAAAAATATATTTCACCTTTCTTGAATGTAGACTTTCAAGTAAGCTTGT